TTCTCCACCGGCCTCGCTCCGTTCCCACGGCTCTCGGCCCCGCCCCTCTCGTCACAGTTATCGTCTGACTTTTTTTCTGTTTTGATTTGCTTAAAATTCCCACTTCAAATCTAATACTAAAGATCCAGCATGCTAAAGGTTTTTTCTCCATTGCAGGTCACTTTTCACCTTGGAAGACCTCTAAACAGGTAAAACGTATCGTATTCCAGCCCTCTGAATTTAATTAATAAACTAACATCAACTTTGTACTCTCAATATTGAGTGATTAGGTCTTATTATACATTATACATCATATGTATTAATAACCATGACTGTTGAGCTTTATTACTAAGATCAGCTTTATTGTATTGTTAATGGACAGATACAATAAGAATGACTAATTTGCTTTACAGATACACCACTACAACACCAAACGGCAGCTATATTTATAATATTTGAAAATAAATCAATTATACATTATACATCATATGTATTAATAACCATGACTGTTGAGCTTTATTACTAAGATCAGCTTTATTGTATTGTTATAACATATTACCACATAACTGCATTGTACTAAGCTACTGCTTGTGTCTCTTAATGGACAGATACAATAAGAATGACTAATTTGCTTTACAGATACACCACTACAACACCAAACGGCAGCTATGTTTATAATATTTGAAAATAAATCAACCACTTTTAATAGAGCAAATCATATTTTCTAGTTAAAAGCATAATTTGTACTATTAAAATCTAGTGCAAAATTGTTTTAAAAATACAGTAATCACAACTGGAAAGATTATGGAAATTCATTTGTTAAAAGCTACTGGGACCTAGTTGAAATAAACACTTAGTACAGCTGAGAACAAATCACTGCACCTTCACTAATCTTTCCTCACTAACCAGTGCACTGTGTAATGTGGCACTTAAACCTTCACCCTCAGCAGTCTGTCTCTGTAATGTCCTTTGATTCTGATCCAATATTGTCAGCTGTCTTGTCTGCTTGACTAAATCTTCAAGAAAGTGTTCCTCAAACTCTGAACTGTCCCATGTGCATGTATATTTACACACAGGATGGTATATGTAAATGTATATGATAAGGTATATGACGGCATATATATATATATTTGCAAATAAATAAAATGATTTTAATAGAGCAAATAATATTTTTATGTTAAATATATACATTTTTGTGAAATCTAGTGATGCTCAGGTTTGCTAGAAATGTAAAACTGTAACTCTGGCAGTGAAAACCCAGCTAAAGACTTTTTTTTTGTGATTTACTGTTTTCTACATGAAATCATTCTTCATAAGGTAAAGAACATGAAAATGTAACCTTGATATCTTTGATATTAGCTGAGTAGGGCCATGTCAAATATTGGAATCATAGTAAAATGAATAGTTAAAATTAAACTTTGATGCTTGTTATCTCATAATTAGATTTTGAGACTTTAGCCTGGATTTCACAGACAAAGTCACATTTCTATAAAATTGTTTTACAAATCCAGTAATCATAACTGAAAAGGTTATGGTAATTCATTGTTTAAAGATTCAAGAATGCTTGCTAAAACAAGCAAACAAACAAACAAACAAACACTTAAAATGCGATAAGTTTTTATCTGAGAACCAAACAAACAAACACTTAAAATGCGATAAGTTTTAATCTGAGAACCAAACAAACAAATAAATAAAATCTACCCATTTTAATAAAGCAGGTAATGTTTTATTCTAAAATTCTAGTTATGCTCAGGTCAGCTTTTTGTGAGTGCAATATACATATTGAAAAATGTTTTACAAATCCAGTGATCACAACTGGAAAAGTTATAAAACTTCATTGTTGGTAGTTGATAATTTTGCAGCAGAGAATATTTAATATAATATAAAATATATTGTACTGATATGTGTGTGTGTGTGTAAATATA